AGATCAAAGAAACAACAGCAATTAAAACATCACTTCAACGTGCTGTCAGTATGACAGGGAGTTCAGAGCCTCTCGACCTGCACCAAAATGACCTTGCAACCCTCCCTTTTGAGGAAACCCAAGATCAGGTGTCCTTTCTCCCTTGTGTTCAATAAACTCCCCTGATTCATTCCTTACAAAGTTCAGTTTTTATACAGGAAAGTTCCCGTGCCTTGCCACCAGATCAGAATCGCTGGGAACTTTAAAATTTTCAGATTTTCCGGCTCCACCCTGGATCTAATGTAGTAAGTCTGGGGTGGGGCCTGGGCATCTTTATCTTTAAAAAAAATTTTTTTAATCCCCAGGTGACTCTGATATTCACCCATGATGGGAACAGCTCTTGTGGGAGACAAGGTTGAATCATGCCCACCAGTTCATGTTCTTACACATCCTGAAGTTTGAGCCCTGGGTCCTAAGAAGCTGAGTTCCCCAGACTTAAACCTAGTGTTACTGTGAGACAGGAGTCGACAGAAGTTTCCCCAGGGCCCAAGTCTACAGCTGAGTACAGTATCCTGTGGATGCCCACAGTGTTCTTCTCTGTTACCTTTCTTGTCTTTATGACAAGACAAAACTTAAGGGAGGAAGGACTTACTGGGCCCGTGGTTTAAGGGAGGAGAGTTCATCCCACGTGGGACGTGATTCCTAGCATGCACAGTGGCTAGAGTGGTTTTTGTCCTTGGACATGGGAATGGGAGGCAGCTTGCTTGAATTTTGGTGGATGAGGAAGCAGAGGGAGATTGAGGCCTTGTTGACCTCCATCTGAACCATAGTTACTATTTCATGTTCCTTCAATATATGTATTTTTAAACTCGGCTACACGTGTTTAAACTCTAGATAGCTGCCATAAATACAAAGTAGGATCTATCACTGACAAAGTAAATTCAGTGCAATGACCCATTCTACGAAAGTTCAACTGTATACATTTGCAATGCCTGAAGTTTCTGAGCCTGAATTCTGTAGCACCTCAGTTAAGAATAGAAGTTAGTGGGCTGGAGAGATGGTTCAGTGGGTAAAATACTTGCCATACACACATGAGAACAGGAGTTCTAATCCTCAGAATGCATGTAAATGCTGGGTGGGTGTGGCAGATGGCAGGAGGCAATTCCAGTTCTCAAAAGGCAGCTATAATAGATCCCCAGAGCATGCAGACTGGCTAGGCTAGCCCATATAGGGGAGCTCTGGGTTCAATAGAAAGATGTTGTCTCGGTGAATAAGGTGGAGAGAGATCGAAGACTCCAGATGTCAACCTCAGGCCTCTACATGCATGTGTACACACGTGTACTCACACATGTGTGAACATGCACACCACACATACATACATATGCAAAAGAAGAAGTTACCAAGCGTTGGACCTAAGAAAGCCACCAGTACTCAACAGAAACTGTCTTCAAATGAAAGATGGTTAGAGGGAATACATTCTCATCGTGCAAGCCAGTATTCTTAAATGCCATGTCTATACCTCTCAACAACATCTGGGTACCATTGTTTCCTGAAGCCCACTGGTAGAGCCAAAATCTTTTTTTGTTGATAACTAAGCTTAGTGCTTTATATTAGTAGCAATAGGAAAAGAAATACAACTCAATGAAAGAACAATCTAGAAGCACAAGTCCAACAGTACACTGGAAGTGTTAGAAGGTAGGTATTGCAGAGTTATTAAGACTCTTCATTGATAGAACAAACTGTTGAGGGCCAGAAGGGAGTGGAGGTTTAAGTCTGAGAAGGCAGGTAAAACAGCTCTGGCAGAGTCCCTGACTTACCTGTTTTGATGCTGAGTCTCCAAGGCTGGATCCACCTGCTGAATTCCCTTTTCCATTGTCCCCTGAATACTTTGGATGTTATTACAATAGAAGATTTTTGGAGGGGCATTCCTTCTTACACATCCTAGCATCCTCTGCATTTAGGGCAACGTCTGATACCTGGTGCACACCTTATCAAATGACACCTTCCATGTAATACAAATGTCAGGATAACAGGTTCGGGCTCACAGAGAAGATTGCAAGCTTGTGGTGAGGCCCTCACAGCCTCTGTCTTCTCCTTTTTAGGTCTAAGTCTGTGCCTCCTGATCCTGTAACTGTGAGACTGTACTCTACAGGCTGTGGTACCAAGCACAGGATTTTGCAAGTGTGTTCTGGGTAATTAGAATTAATACCCCTTGGCTGACTTTGCCAAAATGGGATTTTCTCTACCCCAGTTGCCGAAGGACTAGGCTGGGGTTAGATGGGGTTGGTGATAGGTGGAGGCTGTTTGGGGGGTTCAGAGCAGGGGACCTAACAACTTGTACTAGTCTTGTGAGGTAGAAGAGTGCATGGGGCTGTCGAAAAGACTAAACAGAGCTTTATGAGCAGTGACAATAACATATCACAACTAACGGTAGGAAGGGAAAGTTAAGTTTCCTGTAGCTGGAAAGAACTGTTGAGAAAGTTACAGGTGGAACTAGTCACAGCTGGTAAGTGCCCATGAAGGAGAGTAAAGGTGGCAAGAAGGAGGGTGGGAGGCATTTGAGATCCCGTTGGTCAGGCCTCATTACCAGTGGCTACATGGCTAGGAGGAACAAGGAGCAGGCATGGATGAAATTCCATCACAGTAGCCATGACATTGTCCTGTACACCTTAGTTTCATTTCTAAGTATGCCTTGGTCTTAGAGTCAGCAATGTTAGCTTGTCTGTTTTCTGAAGAACAGAAGTTCTCAGACTGGAGTCAACAGGAGGGTTGCGTGCAGGGCTGTCTGCCTGTTCAACATGTGGATTCGGGAGCTGAGCCCTTATCCAGCAAGGCACTGATTTAGAAGATCCAAGGCAATGGTCCCCAGGCAGGGGCAGTTTGGGCCCTAAGGGAGACTGGGCAATGTTTGAAGGCAACTTTTATCATCAGAGCTGGGGAGGAGCTATCTAGTATCTAGAGGCCAGTGTGTTGCTAAGCATCTTGCATGCCACTGGACTGTCCTTACAGCAAAGCAGTGTCTGGCCCCAAATGTTACCAGTACCAGGGCTGGAAAATCTGCCTTTCGGATAAAAGCAAGGTGCCTAACAAGGGTCTTGGCAGATGTGACGGCACAAGGAGGGACTGTCAGTGTTGAGACAGACCAGTGGTATCAGAGTTCCTCTTTGGGCTGATTTCTTCTTTCTCTTTGGGCAGACCTTAGCTTTGACTCGGCTTGCCCCAAGCAGCCTCTCTTGGTAACCATCCTTCTTTATTCAGAGTCCAGGTACAAGCCAGAAGACCTGGTGGCCTTAGACCCATCATCACCACTACTCAGAGGCAAGAAGATCCCAAGTTCAAAAACCTGCCTGGACCACAGAGTAAGTTCAAGGCCAACCTTAGTAACTTAATGAGACCCTGTCTTCAAATTTAAAGGTAAAAGAAGGTTGGAGATGTAACTCAGTTGTAGACTGTTTGCATAGTGTGTATGAAGCCATGGGTTCAATCCCCAATACCAGCCCCATTGCAGGTTCTTGGTCTGCCATAACTCTGCCTCCCACTGGAAGGAGAGCTCAGGGGCCAGGGTCATCCTATTCACAAATGAATCTGGGATACTCTGAAAGGTGCCTGCTCTGTAGTGACCCCCAGTGATGACATTTCAGCAAGATAGGCTATAAGGTATCAGCTCCTCTTTCAGTCCCCAGTACAGCACCCAGTTGTTAACAAGGCTAACAACTGAAACTTTGCGGCAGATATGTTTAATCTTCATTCACTGCACAAATATCTTGGGGGGAGGAAACCAACTCTGTGTTTTATACTTTGCCATCCTTGTAGGATAAAAAAGAAGAGGCAACATCCCCCTCAAAGAGCTTGTATTCTAGAAGAGTCTCAGACAACTATCTGAAGAGAAGACCACATAGAGCATGTGTCACTCTTAGTAAGCCCAGTAGGGAAACAAAGTGGAGACATGTACACATCAAATGTTTAACAAGGTAGACCTCCAGGAGGACACAGGATATCAGGGGGATAATTTGTCTGAACGCTACCCCTCCCTGGATAACAGGCACCCACAGGACCAGGATATCCTATTTCTATAGCTGCTGTGTCTCCAGAATAGGTACACAGTAGGTGCTCAATAAATACCATCGAAAGAAAACAGAACTGTCAAGGAGGCAGAAAGGAGGCTTTTAAAAATTCCACTAGTTACAAGAAGGTGGAGGAGGAGCAGGGGCATAAACTTAAGGAGTATGGGCTGGGTATTTGAAGGAGACAGGTTAAGACTGGATATGAGCCCATCCCCCTACCCTATCCCCAGCAAACCTAGGTCTTCTGGGCTTCTAATACTGTTGCTGCCTCCCAGAGCCTGCCTCCCCATCTTCCAAGTTTAACCACCACCCTTCTAGGGGCGTCCCATGCTCATCTCCTTCCCTTTCCCTAGCCTCATCTTCTCCCAGAGGGACGTTCCTTCCATGCAGGATGGGCACCCCCATCTCACCATCAAGGGCACATCCAGGGCTGAAGCCTGGCAAGCTGGGTCCCCTGCCCCCAGCTCCTCTCCCAGGCGGGACACTGTCCCTTTAATAGACTCCCTCTGCCTGGCGCTCTGCGGCTGGGGAGTAAATTTCTCCCTGTCATCAGGTCGCGGGGAGAAGAGGAGGAGGAGTTTGTTAATGTTCAGTTTGTTCAGCGGAGATCGATGTTTGCTGGCATCGCCTCGCCCTGTCTTTTTCTTAAAATAAAATTACTGGTATTTGTGTGAGTATGTGTGTTTGTGTGTGTGTGTGTGTGTGTGTGTGTGTGTGTGTGTGTGTATGTGTGAGAGAGAGTGTTTGTGTGTGTGCGTGTGCGCGCGCGTATGTGTGTGTGTATGTGTGTGTGTGTGAGGAAGCAAGAGTGCATGTGTCTGTGTGTCTGTCTGTGTGTGTGTGTGCGTGTGTGTGTGGTGTGTGAGTGAATTCCAGATTTTCTGTCTTTCCAAAACCCGCTCCTGTCCTCTGGCATATCACTCACAGACCAGGATCTGACAGCAGCAACAAACCTACCGTGAGTGATCCCTTCCCAGCGCGAATCCGCCATCAAGATCACAGAGGAGGAAGAAGAGGAAGAGGAGGAGGAGGAAGAGGAGGAGGAGGGAGGACAGGAGGAGGAGGAGAAGGTGGAGGAGGAGGAGGAAGAGGAGGAGGAGGAGGAGGAAGAGGAGGAGGAGGAGAGAAGGAAGAAGAAAAAGAAGAAACCCACTGTCTCCTAGGATTGCTTTTTCCCCTTTTGCGCGCGTGTGCGCGTGGCGCGTGTGCGCCCCTCGTCCCTTCCATCTGAACCCGGTCTTGGATGTTTAATAAAGAAATCAAGTGTCTTACCAGTCACCAAAAAAAAAAAAAGCAAAAAACAACCAAAACCAAAAACAGAAAAAAAAAATTCCAAAAGCAAAAACAAAAAGAGAGAGTGGGGGAAAAAAACCAAACAAACAAACAAGGCAGAACCAACCTCCACTTGCAAGCAGCGGGCTCAAGCCAGTGTCTGCCGCCCAGAGAGGGGGGTCTCCGGGCCCCGCGGTGAGCACTGGCAAGGGGGGGGATCGTCAGGGGGACAGAGGCCGAGTGACGTCCTAGGAGCCACCGGGCAAGAGGCGGAGGAGCCCCAGAGAGACGCGGAGACAGCGGCCCCCGCGCAGCTGGGGCTGGGGCGCCAGAAGTGGGACTGGAGCGAGTAGAGCGATGCCAAGGAGGAAACAGCAGGCACCCAAACGGGCGGCAGGTAAGAGATGGCTCCGCTCCGGGCTGCCCGGCCCGGCTGCCCAGCGCACACCGCGGCTCGCCCGCCCTCCTGGCCCCGGGCTGGCCGGGACGCCTCCCCCTGGCGCGTTCGGGGGAGTTTTCTCGCGGGTGCCCCTCGCATCACCCCATCCCATCTCTCGGATCGCCCAAATCCTCCCCTTTTCCAGGCTCGCTTTGGATGGCGGAGAAGCTGTCCCACCACACCTTCCCTCCTTAAACTTTTCCCCTCCACCCTCTACCCCACCCCTAACTTTTTCTCCCAGTCTTGCTTCTTGCCTGTGGAGCCAAAGTCAGATTGAGGATTTGGGGTGCCAGGTGAGGGAGAGAGCCCCCGCCACCCCTTCACATCCCTCTGCGAGGAGGTCAATGCCTGCGGCTTCTGGCCTCCAGGGACAGCGGTGTCTCTTGTCGCTGGGCTTGGAAAGGAAGTAAGAAACATGTCCAAGTCCAGGGCTGTAGGTTGGCTTTGGGGTGGCGAGCCAGGCGGGTGTAGCTGAGGCCAAGGTGCAGAGGTACCCCAGGAAATGAGCGTAGCTTTGGGGTATGTTTTCTGAAAGGATCCACCGTTCAGAAATCTCATCAGCTCCCCTCCCTTGTCTTAAAAGGGGGGGAGGCACCCCCATAGAAATTCAAACAGCTCTAGATTTTCTTTGCCTAGACAGTGTTGGAAACTTTGCAAACTGATTTCCGTGGTAAGAACTGTCCCACTGGAGTCCTTTCTACACCCACCCTCACCCTAAAGATCAAAACAGGTTAATAGATCCCTGCAACCAATCTTTCAAGGGATTTTTTCTTTTCCTTTTGGGTCGCCTAATTGCTTTTTTAATAATATGCTGGGGTTTTCTTTCTCCGAAGTGTAACAGGAAAGTTCATTTTTCTCCTGCCAGACCCACCCACTGAAAAATCAGCTTTCCACTGGATTGCTAGTTTTGATTTGACATTTGATTGATCACCTGTCATCTCCCTGCCTTTGATCTATTCATTCTTGATATATATCAATAAATCACTCACCATGGTAACTCGGAGTGCCAGTGACGCAGGCTGTGCCCTCTATATTCAGACCCAGACGTGCACAATTATTATCTTGTTTGGCTTTTAATGTGGGCGTTTTTATTTCTTTGTGTCCTTTGAGTTTAAACAGGGCTTCAGCAAAAAGCTTAAGTTTTCGCTATTTTTTTTTTTTTTTGTCTTTTCTGTATAACTTTCTTCTCTTGCTTCAGACAACATGGGTTACAGCTAATCCGGAAACCCACCATTACATTTTATTCTGTCCCAAACACAAGGAGAAGCTCAGTGCAACACTTGGGTAAACTTTGCCAACTTACCAGGAGAAGAAGTGAAAAGTTAGTTAGGAATCTGGGGAAAGTGGGTATTTTTGTCTGAACACGCTGAGCTGCAGCTCATCCTCTCCTCCAATGCTGCCTGATTTCAGTCCAAACAGTGCTTCAGAGTATCCAAGTTTCCTCCTGAATGCAGAATTGCTCCTATAACCATTTGTAGGTTGCTTTGAATTACATTTGGAAATAGCATTCTTAAAGCTTTGATTCATGGATTTTTCAATTGTTTCTCTAAGAGCAAAATAATGAGATCCTGAGCACCATGTAGACTTTCAGCTTGTCCAGGCAAAGAGGTTCTCTTTTCTTAACTCTTCTTACCTCTTTGGAAAACAATAGCTCCCTTATTTTTTTTAAACTCACCATGCTCTGCTATCTGACCGTGTGAGGGTGTAGGATGGCCTTCAAGACTCCGGAAGAGTCAGCCTGCTTCATCTAGTGCTGGCAACATAAGTTTAAGTATAGCTCAATTATTCAAGATAAACGTCCTTATTGTCCCGAAAGAGAGCCCTGGGCTGCAGTCCAGCAAGAGGTGATAGTACCCTGAAAATTACTCTATCTTTCCCCACTTCCTGTTGTTCCGGTAAAGGCTATCAACAACCAGGCAGTAATTTAAATTACCAGAATGACTGGACAAGTCTCCTTTGCTCATTACAAAAAGTGCGCTGCTCAGAACTGCACTACTTTGATTATAATTATGCTCTGATCAATGAGGATCCAGGTGTGCATAAAATGATGCTATATTGCATTATTTAAATGAGATCCTTTCATTAAGCCGGTATCTACTAGCATTTGCTGCCTTTTATTGTAGTGTGTGTGTGTGTGTGTGTGTGTGTGTGTGTGTGTGTCTGTGTTAGAAACTTGTGACTGTAGTTTCAGTTTTCCGGCCTATTGCATTGCTACTGTTTTTCATGTTTCCATGAATCTTATAATTTTCCTCGTAAGAAGTGGAAATCCTCTTTGAGCTGAGAGGAAGAAGTAAATTTCATACACAGTGAGCCCCCCTTTAAATTACTTATTTGCTCACATATTAATAAAGTCGATTATTTTTCCTGCTGTGTTTCTTCCACTCGGCAGAGGTTATCAATGCCCCACTCTGTTTTAGGATAAGTGATTAGTACCAAGGAAAGTTAGCTGGGTTCTGTTGCCAGTTGGCACTCGGGGAAGGGGGAAGGGCCTCTAGGACTGCAGTCATGCTAACTTTTATCATTGCTTAAAATTAAGTACAATGCACAACTGTAAGTAATCACGCCCATGGACTGACGTTGAAAGCTTGATTCCTTGTTTGATTAATGAATAATGGAAGATAGAAAAAGCCTGGAAGCGAATCAGGCTGAGGCTCCCCTGGAGCTCTTTTTCCCAAGAACTGTTCCAGGCTATTAGATTCCTTTGCACGATTCATTTTAAGGACCATTTTTCAAGAAATCAATTACAGAACTTTCTAATAAAGCAGGTATCTAAATCGAGCCAACAGGATGATATGATAATCTTTACTTCTTAGCTTCCCCTCCCCCGCAGGAGATGGAGAAAGACTAGAAAGGCACTTCTCTTTAAGAAAACAGCTATATCAGAACATTTTCTCCCAGAAATATTCTTCTTCCTTTCTTTCTAAAGCTTTACTCTTCCCCTCTTCTGGGACTCAGGGCAAGAAGAAAAGTTTAGAAAGCAGCCTACAGCACCCCCAGGGTTTCTGCACGTGTGGGTGTTGCTTGGTTCGTTTTCTTGAATACATATTGTACTCACCATTAAAATGCATCTGCGTTTACCTGCGAATATTCAGGATCGCGCTCTGGAATCTTTCTCTTATTCGTATTAGGAGAAACAGAAATGGCAGCAGGAAGGTGGAACAGTACCGAGCAGCATCCCGGTGTGTTTGCATTTCGTAGAATGCAGAGCACTTACATTTTATAAGATTGTGGACATACTCTATGACCTTTCTATCCCCAACAATCCCATCTGTGGTCCAGAGACACAGGGAACAGAGATTTTACTTCACCATCCTAAACTACTACTTACGCCAGCCAACTTCAATGGGGCGGGGAATCTTCTGCGACCGTGTCCGTATGAATATCTGATATGTCTGTAAGTTGTACACCCTGCCTCTGTTTACCCCAAGCCGTTCTGAGTATCTTTCTTGCTGACTTTTGGAAGCTTTCTGATAAGCCAGTTTCTGTGGAGACTCTTGCAGGAGAGAATAGCTCCTTCAGTTTATTTTGTTTATTGAAAATGAAAATGAATAATGCAGATTTTGTTTTCATGGATGTCCTTGTGTGGCAGTAAACATTAGACTATTAGCAATCATTACTTAAAAGTTGCAATTTGCACCTTAATAGCACAAGTTATTTACATGGGAAATGTTCAGCAGGGGCAGTTTTGAATACTGCAATGGTGTAGAAATGGCCTGCGTGGTCTTTTTTCCCTTTGCAGGACAGTGTTGATTCTGGATTAATGGGTGAGGTCCCAGAAATCTCAGCTAGCCCAGTAGGGGAGGGAGCTAACAGCTGAGAGTGAAGTTTGCCATTAATTTGCTTGCAAGTGGGGTGGGACTCAAGAACAGGGACTGGGATTGTTTCTGGACCCTGATCTTCTCTCTTTGCTTAAATATCCTTCCTTTGGAAAGGCAAGTTCACATCTTGAACACTTAAATGTTTCATTTGCTTTGAACAGTATGATTTGTGGAACACCACACACACACACACACACACACACTGCAGCCCAGAGAAGCCTTCAGCAACACAAACTCCTTAAGCTATTCTTGTTATTTAAAGCAGATCCCTGAAAAGGGAGGCCAGGTGCCTAGAAAAGACGGTGTCCTGACAGTGTTTGGGGCTGGAATTGATTCTTTAAGTGGTCCCTTCTCCAGTCCCTTTCTTATTTATTTCTCCTACCTCTGGCCTCACACTTAAAGAGCCAGATTGAATGGGACATCTCAAAAGCCCATTTGTTTTAGGCATTTATTGATTTCATTTTTAATCTGCCATATCAGGACATAATACATTAACCCTAATCAGCAGATTGCAAGTGACAGGGAGTTCCAGTAGAACTGAGGGAAAAGGGCGCTGGCAAACTTTTCAACAGTTGAAATCTCTGAGGCTTGCTGGGGGCGGGGGGTGGATGCTTGAGGCCAGTTTGGGGAGGGTAAAAATATTGATCAGAAATAACTCACTGGTTTTTGTTGTTGTTGTTGTTTTTTCCCTTCCACCTTGTGTTTGTTACTTCCAGCCAACTCCATTCTTCCTGAGCTTTTGGGAAGGCTGCACACCTCACTGTCACCAATACCTCCTAGGCTTCTGTAGATCTCTCCCCTAAGTGTCTTGACTGTTGTCACACCTCTAGTTGAGGTACATGTCTTCTCTCATCCCAGCTGACTTCCCCTTCATTTGGGGGACTCTCTCCAACTAAATGATACCTGGGTTGGTCTATTCCTCTTCCCAGAGGCTTGGGAATTGTGCTCTCGGCTGAGCAGGTTTTAAAGAGAGACTTGAGCCTGTTATTATTTAAGGTCGTGGAAATGAAGCTTCTCTGCCCATCCCTGTAGCTGAGCTTGGGAAAATCAGCCAAGAAGGAAACCTGGGCTCTGTTCCTGTTTTCCTTGGGTCTGTAATTAGCTGACAGGAGTTAAACATTCAAAGTGGAGCCTCTCCCC